TTCGTGCAGAGGTTAAATGCATTAAAAAAAATTCCTGCAGAGACACGAGACTGAAAAAAAAATTCGTGCCGCAAAAATTTTATACCCCCCCTCCCGGGATTTCTAATGGTCCGCCCCTAACATAAGCATTAATATTTCTGGTGGCAACAGTAAGAATACTTTTGTTCGTGCACAACTTTAATTTTGTTCAAAAAAAAAATTCAAAAGTGTAAAATTTCCAAAGTAAACTAACCGTGTTTGTATACTGGATATACTATCAATTCTAAACTGTTCTTCCTAACGAGTAACGGTTCAGTAAGGATCATACGACTCTTATTGATGCAGTGTTACTGATGGAAAAAACCTAAACTAAACTTACTTTATTTATACTGATTACTGGATAGCTCTATCAGTTCTAAACTGTTCTCCCTAGGCCTAGAGGTTCAGTAGACCAGTAATGATAATCTCTTATTGATCCAGTGAGTACTGATGGAAGATATTGTACATGTTACTAGCATTGTACACTAATCAAAACTACATGTTCGAATTATAGTTTTGTGACAATTTTGATATTTAACAATTATTCGCAGAAGGCGAGGTGATTATCGGGGAATATTCGCCGAGACGAAGTAGAGGTGAATATTCCCCGATAATCACCGAGCCTGAGGTGATTATCAGAGCCTAAAGTTTTTTTGTGTTTTTCTGGTCTGAATTCATTTTAATTTCGCTTATTTCTTTATCACTAACTTCAACAAAACGGCTAGCCGCCACTTTGAAAATTTCGATTTTGTTATATAACAGATTAATACGTAAAATTTGACCAATCACCTTGTAGGATTTGTTAATATGTTCACTTGTGCAAAAATACTATTTTCACGGATATTTGTGAGGCCCTGTGTAAATGGTAATACGACATTGTCATTGCATTGAACTGGTGACATGCAGAAAAATAAAATAAAATAAGATAGCGACACACGGCATGAATTATGTCTAAATATAATTTCCAAAGCGGCATGAAAAAAATTCAAGTGGTGAGACGAGCGTAAAAAATCACAACACGATTTGGATAATGAGCGGAAAAAAATATTGATGCGTGAAAGTGCCTTTGCTGTGAACACCGACCCATGCACTAAACTCTAAAGACCGTCGTTTATTGCCCCCAGAGTCAATACAAAAAGAACCTAAAGGCTAAAATTAAACTAAATGACATGTTTATCAGTTCAAAACTATTCTTCCACGAGATTCAGTAACTCGAGGAGACTGCAGAGCACGGTATTAATAATTGGAAAATGAAAACGCTCTTCTCGCATCGGAAATTATGTAAACTTTTTCTTTTCATTTTGTATAGCAAGTGAACTTTCACACCTCCTTTGTAAGGCTTTCTTTCAATAAATTTTCTTTAATCTCTATCACTAATAATACGCTTAGTTGAAGAATCATTAAAAATGAAAGCATTCTTCTCACATGGGGAATTATTTGCACGCACGTGGTAATTACAGGCTTAGTTGAAGAACCCATTATTAAGCCATCTGAAAATATAAAAAAGCTTTGAGCCTTTGACGTTTTAAGCAACAGTGCATCTCCTAAAACCTCTGAGTTCTTTGTCAACATAATATAATATATTGATAAGAAAAAAACAACACGGTGTCTATGTCGTCAACATAAAATTCACGTTCAAACGGGCACGTTGCGATTTCTTCGATCGTTCAAAGGGCAGGTTGCGATTTCTTCGTTCAAATGGGCAAAACACAAATTGCAAATCAATATCAATGAAAAAAATCGCACGTGTAACCTAAAAGTTAAAGATAATGGGTCCAGAGTGCAAATTCATCGGAAGTTATTAAATAAGGTTCTTTGTTTTGTTCAAATTCATAACAGTTTCAATTAGTTTAAGTCTTGTAACAGTATATTAACTAAACCTGAATAGACATTGATTTCAGTGGAAAAATAGGCATCACAGGAAAAATATTAAAAACCCATAAATGGAATAGTCATTTCTATAATGGTGTATTGATCATTCCCATTTACAAATTCGAAAAAATATAGATTTTTATTTTGAAAATCAAGATTAAGATATTACAATTTATGTTTTAAAAATCTAACTTTACGAAAATATTACCGATAAATTTAATTACGGTACATTAATTTGAAATTACTGAAAAATGGTATGTCCGGAATTTTCAGTTTACTCCTCCCACAATATTTGGGAAAAAAGATTAATTATAGCGACTGAAATGTTTCATGTTTGATCAGTAATACCCATTCAAATGAATTGGCTTCCTAACCACTCGAGTGCTAAAGGTGAAAGCTCCTTAGGGGGACCAGGGGGTATGCCCCCCCCCCCTCCCGGAAACGTTTGAAAATTAGAACCCTAGAAATGCCATTTCCTGCGATATGGGCATTGAATTATGAGCTTCAGTTTGACTTCAAAAAAGGAAAAAGCTTGGAAATTGTGCCATATTTCTGAATTTGATTTTATTGCACCCCCTTGCCCCCTGTTGACCAAGGCCAACAGAGGTGTACACCCCCCTATAAATCCACCTCTGGTAATACCCCCACCCCAATCTTGATCCATCTGTCACTGGGCCTGGGCCCCATGCATCAGACGTTGCTTATTCGTCGTCCTTTTCAAGACCCCAGCACGTCCCTGATAACATTAATGTGAAAAAATAAGCTTAGCATAGCCATTAATGTTTTCAAAATGTACTTTGTCTTAGTAAAACCATTCAAATTATTGAAAACCATTGATATGAAAATAATACACAATTTCCCATCGTTGTTTTTTCTCTACAAACAGTCTGAATTTAGATTCATATTAATGGGGGATACCATTGCTATTAATTTAGATATCAGCAAAGTCCTGCTCAATAAATCGAACGTTTCACAAAAATTTCCCTATAACTTCAAAAACTTGCATATAATTTACTGTATAAAATAACCACAATTAAGTGCTGCGAGTAACAAAGTCTAACAAAATTGACAAGTAACAAAGCACCTGCGATCAGTTTTATATAGTGTGCATGGTATGAACTTGAATGTAAAACCTGCAATCTAAAAGCTCTAATTAAACTGCTGTTCTTGTTTTCTTAAAGGCTCATTTACACAAAATGACTAGTTATATACGAATGTCGTCTGGTGCATGAAAATGACTGCTGATGGCACTATACTTGTTTATCAGTTAAAATATGGCGAAATTTGAAATGTTTCGAGCACATGTGCCACCTGGGATAAGAATCATATACGACTAGTCTTATTGTGTAGATGCCTTAATAGTAACTGACTTCTTTGGACATTTTGGCTTCTTTCACTATCTTTGCCTTCTGCAAAGTTCAACTTCCTTTTTCATCAGCAAGGTATTTCCACAAGTTTTACTTTTTTATGCGCAAAATATTTCCACCATACATTAAGTGCCATACTTTGCACTTGGACCCCGATTTATTTCATATTCAGTTCCATATTATGGCTACAGGGTTAGGGTCAAATTTCATGCTATAAGCTAAGGTCGTCATGACAAATACCATCTATTGCAACTAAGCAGAAACATGTCATGAGAAAACGCAATCCAATTGGCTGTCAAACATGATTTGTTTGGACTTCAAACATCACATGATTTTACTGCAAACATTTAAGTTTCAACTGTCAATATTCCAAATTTAGAAACACATTCATATTGGGCGGGGGGTTAGCTTGCAAACACTAAATCTGTGATTAAATTCATCTGAATTAAATTCGACGTATGAAACAGGCCTTAGTGAAGTTCTAACATACTGTAAATTTGTGAGTTTTGCATTTATAGTGGACAAATTCAGTATTTTTTGCAATGTTTGTTCTAACTTTGTTACGTTTACGCGGGAAAAATAATTGTAAACCGTCAAATGTTTCCAGCAAAATCATGTAAAGTTTGAAGTCCAAACATGCTATGTTTCATGTCCAATTAGATTGCGTTTTCTCATGATGTGTTTCCGCTTAGTTGCAATCGACAGTATATCTATTGACTCTAAGTCTTGTGTAAAAGCAGTGACCCCTTAGAAGGGCATATCTGCCATGTCCGTGTTTACAGGCATTTTGGTTTTCTAAATTTAGTGGAATTATAATTTCTTATTTTAAAATTTTCTAAATTATATAACATTATACTGTGTTAATGGGCAACCACATTAAGTGGCCGTAAGACGGGGTTCCACTGTATAGGGCCACCAAGGGGGGCAGGGGTTTCAGTAAATGTTTCTGGGGTACCATTCGAGGTACCATTAATCTCCAGACTGGCAAACCTACTACCATTGGCGATAAAAAAAATTATTCATAAAATTAGGTATATAGATCCAGACTGGTAGAGATCATAGGTCTGTCACGGGATATCCTCAGAATCAGATCCTCTAAATTGTTTATATACTTACCTAATGGCGTTCAAGGTGACCTTCTCAATTTTGCACTCACTAAGTTCAGGAATTAGAGACAGATGAGAAATCTGCGTGGCAGCCCAGCCGAATTGAAAGACGACAATAAAAGGCACATAATATATCACCAATGCGTACTCTGACGAGTTTTCGCAACCGAGACATTTGACAAATATAAATGGAAAACTAAGCGAGACACAAGTGATTCCGAGCAAATGCCACAGTTTCCTTCTACCGTATTTATAATAACCAGTTCTGTCAGATTCAATTCCTACAACAGGGGTTGACAAAGCGTCCGCGACCTGTCCAACGAGTAATAAGGAGCCGGCAGTGACAGGACTTAATCGAACAACATATTGCATGTACACGAGAAGATAGGAAAACCAAACGTTTGCACAGAGGTCGTTTAAAACATGTCCGACTCCGTAACACAGTCTAGTTCGCCATGTCAGTACGACAAGATTCCTCTCTTCGCGTTCGCTTTCGCTTGGTGGTTTTATATCTTCCCCATCCATGTAATCACGCATACTACCTGTAGTCATATAGATACGTTAGGAAGTACTTTAATAATAAGTACTATGCTTAATTAATGACGTATTTGGAGTATCAATATCAAAAAATAGGAAGATCATCCAAAATCGTGCTGGTCATATGATCGCAACATGATTCCATTTTGTGAAATCTTTGTTTACACCTTCTATTAACCGTGTTTACACGTATGTTGCAAATTTAAATAATTGCGACGATCTATAAATTATGCTTTTTACCATCGCTCAAAATGCCCTACTCGTATCCAGTCGTCAATTATGAGTACATATCACTACATATCCAGTGGTACATATCGTACGTATATAGATCAGTGGACTGAGTGTGATGCATGATGGGAGCTTGACCATTACCAGCATGCGTCATAATTTCTCCCAATCCTCATTTCAGGGACTGGGTACGAGTCAGCCAAATCATACCAAAATCAAAACGCGTCTTTAAATTCCATCACTCAAAATGCATACATTTTTCAGGCGCTAAATTCCATCACTCAAAATGACAGCATGTATCAATTCTTTATTCCTTCTTTGTTCAACCACTATTTCATTTGTAAATGCAGGACTACATGCGTAAAAATTCTCCCAGCTTGTCAACAAGATCTGTTCGCACTGCTTGTTCCCAGTTGTTGACAAGTCTGGAACAAGTTGTTATCATTTTGTAACAAGGTTGGTATTAAGGGCCAACAAACTCGCAACATTAACAAGGTTCGATTTCCACCGTGCACTCAGAGTGACATCGTCTGCACGTAACAAACTGAATCGGTGTTTAACACTTAGTCCGGTCCCTCAAACATTTCTTACAAATCCTTACAAAACTTAAAATTTACCTGTGGAAACTTAAGAAACTTTGATAGTGTTTATACAAAACAAAAACATACAATTACAATTGCACAACTTTATTTTACTACTATTAAACGTAATCAAAGATGCTACTTATAGTACAAGAAGAAAAGATGTTTTAAAAAGTTTATTCATGAAACTTTGATTATTTTTTACTGCTCGTTCCGGCGGCACTTTCCTTATTCTTCGCTTCTTCCTCACAGATATTAATTATATCCTCAACTTCACTGTCACGCAAAATACGAATTACCGTTTTGTCCTCTTCTCTTGTTAGAGTGGCAATCTCCACTGAATCAAAACATAAACAATAAAATTAGAAGTAAGTTCACATATGATATTTGGCAATCCCATGCAGTGTCAAACGAGAACAAGAGTTGCACAAAGTTGCACGAGATTTGACAAGGGTTGGCTGGATATTACAGCGCGCGGAGCGAAGATTCGCATCGACTTTCATCAAATTTTGAACCAGCTCAAAGTCGCAGTCAAAGTTGACGAGAATTGCAACTCTCATACGTCATATGCAAGTTCACTTAATTCACTATACCTTTCTCTTTCGTCAATTTTGTAACGTCCAAAGTCTTATTTAGGACTCTAATAGCGAGCTTCAGCGCCTCGGATAGTGGCATCTTATCTTCGTCATATTCTTGTTTTAACATCGACACTGCGGCCTAGAGAAATGTGAAGTAAAAATCAATCAAAAGATGTTTGAGAAACGGAACCAGAATTTCTCATATTCAGTGGACACTCTCTGGTTCAAAATATTTGTTTCCTCCTATAGTAACACTGGATTAATAAGGGATACCTCTTACTGGACCTCTAGGGAAAAAGTTTAGAACTGATAGAGCTGCCCAGTATCAATAAATTTAGGTTTCCTCCAGTAGTAACATCGTACTAATACGAAATAGTGCTTATCTGGTTCTCTAGGAAAACAATTTATTCAATGAAATCATTTTCAACATACAACGCTATTATTTCCGATACACGTTGCCTTCCAGCCACTGAAATTTCCACTGGGGTCACTCTGATACAACTGGAAGCCATAATGCTTGTCCCAACCCATATAAAGAAGAGATACACCAAATGGACGTTTTCCTGAGAAAAAAATCATGTATCATATGATAAAAAGCTTGTAATTGGCATTAAAATTGTCTGGTGTTAGATAGAGTAAAATAATAAAGGATAAAATATATATAAAAGTTAAATGTTACCTCCAAACTGGGTATATGCTTGCTTTATATCACACAAGGAGCTGACAAGTTGCTCACAAGGAATTGGTTCTTGATATTGTAATAAATATCTACAAATTTATAGTAGGAGAAAGATTGACAATTCACCATTGTATCGTCTTGAAATATGCTGATGGTCATTATATCAGGTAGACTGGCCAGTTTATTCAGTTGGTACTGAACTGGTCAGTCATGCTGTCATTTGTTCAGCCAATTGGCATAACAGTGGTAAATGCTACATGGAATATCGGGGGCAACTTTAGGTCACAAATTTTACCCTAAATTTTATGTAAATGTGCTTCATCAATGCTTTCGTGGTTTTAAAATATTGTTATACCAGCGACTATATACAGTAGCTTTGTTACATAGGGCGGCATTGCCTCTCCCCTCGTCCAACCTAGCAGCTTGTTAGCCAGCTATCAATTGCCAAATTGAACTTACCTCTGTGCAATTAATCTTAATTCGTTAGTGAGAACATTTGCATCTGAGGTGATGCCAGCCACACTGCATGCCATATCACTTTAAAACAAAAAGTACACAAATCTTTTGAAAAGACTGCAACCACTCCCCCTTGATGAGCAAAGTCATCTCGCATTAGACAGAGCAAAATAATAAAGTAGGGTCCTGCACTGGTTCATACGACTTACTCATGAAGTTTATAAATCTTTTCTGAGAACACCATTTCATCTAACAGTTTATTTGTATTCCTTCTCTCGGCAGCCAAGACTACGCCATCATCGGCTAATATCCCAAGACAAATACCGGCCAAGCCTATGGCTTCCATTGCATATTCAACCTGGTACAGTCTCCCTGTCAGTGAAATATATACTATGTGAGAAGCATGTATAGCGAAATATAATTGCAGCATACTTTGCAGTGGTCCATGCCATGGAGCATTTTGTGTAGAACTGTTTGAAGATATCCGGCATGGGAAATAGACTGCAATACAACTCAGTGTGTTAGCTAGCTACACAGGCAGAAAGTCTGATTAACCCAATGAACTAGAGCTCTCCCGATGATGATCGTAAAATCATTGGTCGTTAGACAGAGTAAAATGATAAAGTAGGGTGCATATTTAGGGCACAAAGTAATTTAATTTGTTAAAGGAAAAAAACCAGCTATGTGCAATAATCGTTAATTATTTGTATCTAAATGATAGATTTTACCACACACACTTAGAATATTTTTGCAAAGTCATATAGTACAGTTGTCACTGACCTTCAGGGGAAAATATAGTTGTTCGAGTATCATAGCGACGAGACTGAAAAATAAAGTTACATTTACAATAAATTGAACCGTATTTAACAATACACGACCTAAAATCGCGCTAGATATAAAAAATTTCAAACAAAATACAGTTATAGAAAACAACTCACCATGCTTGAAACTTGGAAAACTGAAAGAGAACTAAGATAAAATCACATACATCAGAAGTTGCTACTTTTGAAGTATGGGAACTTATCAGAAAAACTAGCATGGTGTTTATTTTGAAAATTTTATGATATTTATTGCGCCATTTTGTGCTGTTATTTGCAATACTTTGTATTTATATGTGTTGATATTGAAGAAGAATATATGTTAGATAACTATTTATGATATTAGGATGAACACAGTCACTCAAGATCAGTTATTAGAGCTACAAGGCCAACCAAAGTCAATCAGGAATATTTGCATTCTAGCACATGTTGACCATGGTGGGTATGCATGAAGCTTGTTGAGTTGTTGGCCCAATGTTTGTTTATACGCAATTCACAACATTAGATAACTCACATGCCTAGTTACTGGTATACAGAAGCATAGAATATAACGAAGGTAACTAAGCATTAGAGTTATCTACATGTGTGAATGACGTACTCTTCTACATAGGCCTATAAATTCTTATATTTGTTACCACTGTTCTATATGTGAGTTATCCAAACTTGTGAGTTTGGTAGCAACGATCGATATAAACGATGTTGTAGTAGCTAAATTTGTCAATGAAGCATGCTATCCAAATAAGCTGCAGAGCTTCCCCATAGACAAGTAAAATTGTTTGGCATTAGACAATTAGTAAAAAAAATAAGTAGGGTGCATTGCGGCTCAATGGGTTAAGGACATTGTCAGATTTTTTGGTTAACCTATTAAGCTGCAGAGCTTCCCCATTGACAAGTAAAATTGTCTGGCGTTAGACAAGTAAAAAGTAAAAGTAGGGCACATTGCGGCTCAATGGGTTAAGCGCTAGCTCTCTTTTATTGATGAGTAAAATCATCTGGCATTGGACAGAGTAAAATAGGGCGCAATGCAACTTAATGGTTAAACTCCATTCACAAGGGCCTGGGTAAATTGGAAGTCATATTCAAGTACGTGAAGGGATTTTGTAGACCAGCGATGTCACCTTACCAGGGGCAGTTGTGAATTGCAGGGCTGCATGTTCTGGACTGCTAAGTTTCAAGTTTGCTAACTGTGTGCTGACATTTTCTTCTCTGATAAAGGCGCATATCTAGGATGGCAAAATTGCATGTGGAAGGTCTTCGGTGCACATTTTCATGATGCTAAGACAATAGTACTGTTAATACTAGCAGAGGATGAAGATTTGAGATATTCATGCATTTGTTATAAGCCATATCAAAATGTTTTTTTATTTGTCATTAGTGATCCTTTAGATACATCAATGATACTATCCTTTAGATACATCAAGGTCACTATTTACCATTTATTTGAAATAGGTAAAACAACTTTGGCAGATGCTCTTGTAGCAAGCAATGGTATCATTTCAAATAGATTGGCAGGGAAGGTATGTACTATTTACAACATGTGCAGCCATTGTATGGACATTTCTCTATTACATGAATACCTCTTTAATAGGAACATCTCTCTAATATGGACACCTCTCCAATAAGAACACCTCTCTAATATGGGCACTTCTCTAATATGGGCACTTCTCTAATATGGGCACTTCTCTAATATGGACATCTTTCTTATACAGTATGAATGCACTGCACAAATCTCCCTTTTTTAATTATAATCCTTTCTAAAGTCATTAAAGCACTTCAAATTTGTTTTAGCTGAGGTATTTGGACAGTTTACCAGAAGAACAACTTAGAGGAATAACAATGAAATCTAGTGCTATTTCACTGCTTTATAAAAATGGTAAACCACAGGAACTGTTATCATTTGGTTTTATTTTTGTTGTTGTTGTTGTTGTTGTTATTTGTTGTTGTCGTCGTCGTCACTTGTTGTCACTTGTTGTTGTCACTTGTTGTTGTCATTTGTTGTTGTCATTTGTTGTTGTCATTTGTTGTTGTTGTTGTCTTTTGTTGTTG